TCTCTCTCTCTCTCTCTCTCTCTCTCTCTCTCTCTCTCTCTCTCTCTCTCTCTCTCTCTCTCTCTCTCTCTCTCCAACGGGAAGCAGTGGCGGGCATCATGTCGAAACGACCTCTTTGAAATTGCTCGGGCCTGTGTGAAACCTCCCAGGGCCGCCACCCCAAAAGCCTGCAGTGTCTTGTGTCCGGACCCTTGGGCCCTGTCCGGTGGGGTGAAACGACACTAAAAAATCACCCCGGTATTTTTCGAGGGGCGGCCAGGACCCGATAAACGTCCTGGGCCGCCCCCTTTTTTTTTGTTTTTTGCCCCAGGGGCCTCCATCCGGACATAAGGACCGGACACCGGACACCGAACTGTCTGGAACCTGGTCCGTACGTCCGGACGGTTACCATGGTTTACAGCAATGACTCAACTCGATCTAAGAGGAAGGAGCCTCCGAGACTACAAGCAAAGCAACGTTTGTTGAGCGCTCGCAGGCGGCCTCGTCCCAGCCCCGTGCTGCGTGGCTCGTAAGAGTGGGTAGCGCTGTAGTGTAAGCTGGCAGGAAAGGTGAACAGCGGGTTCAGCCTCCTGATGAGTCGGTGAAACTCCGACAAAACAGTTTGTCACAGCCGCTCATTTGTTGTCCTCTTCTCCCTCCCTCTCTGCCTATGGTTGACCGGGCAGTTCTGGAGAAATTAATGGAGAAAGGCATCACATGTTCACTGCAGGTTTAGACGTAGATTCTTTGGCCGAGTTGGGGGAAAGGTCTGCAGCCCTCTCTTACCACTTGGCTATTTGCTGTGAAGTTGTGCGAACCCCTTTTTGAATCTTGGTTCATTTTGTAGTTTGCGGGCTCTGCTGAAAACCTGAAGCGTAATCATCATTTTTTTCAGAGTGTTTTCTTTTTTCAGTTTGGTACCGCCCATTGAAAGAAGAAGCAAGCCTCTGATGGGTCTTGTCTTTTTTTTTTCTTTTTTTTCCCTTCTGCTTCTTCTTTGAAAGTCTGATGTGTCTTTGACTCGTCGCTGAAACAAGTTGTGCTACTGCAAGGTACACTCTGCCAGATGCATTGTACCAGTCCTGACCACTGATACATTTCGTTTCAGAGTGTATTGTCACAGCCCCTGCTGTACCACTCCTGACTACTGATATCAGTTCTTTTCAGTGTATTGTCACAGTCCCTGCTGGGTACACTGATACAAGCAGTATTGGACAGAAGGGTAGAGCACCGTGGTGGTGCACGGTGAAATGAAGTTTTTCATACTGTGAGATGTAACGTCCAGAAACACCATTTTGTATCACACTGTCCTGTCAGTCCTGCCACATGCACACTCTAGCAGATACATTGTTCCGGGCCTGGGTACAGATTAGTAGTCTACCAATGAGAGGAAAGCTGACACACATATAAGCGGCCATCCAGAGAAGGTTTAGAAAAACGTAGAGAAGTTTATGTTTTTTTTTTTTTTTTTTTGTGTGTGTGTGTGTGTGGGGGGGGGGGGGGGAGGGGGGGGGGGGAAGAGAGAGGAAGTCAATAAGGAGGGGGCATTCCACACAGCCCTTTACGAGGTTCTTGAGGAGCGGGTTTCCAATTAGCTGAGCAAAGGGAGTCCTCCGGAAAAGAAAACAAAAGAAAAGAGCGGAAAAAAAGCCAAAAAAAAGAAAAGAAGAATAAGGTCGATCCTCTGGAGGATAGTTAACAATCTTTGTTTCTGCCATCACTAACATGCATGAATCTGTTCGCTTGCGGAGTAGAATGAATTCATGGACATGGGGAATGAATCTGTTCAATGATTCAATATGTTTTAAGCTCAAAGTTTGAATATTGTGGCTCTCGCGGAGCACCAGCTTTTTGAGCTGTTGTGATTGGTTTGAAGTTTGATATTTGAAATTTTGAGACCATAGGAATGAGAGATGCATTCCAATGGTTTCAAAACCATAGGAATGAGAGATGCATCCCTCTTCTCGACTCCCCTTCCCGAACATCCCATCCAACTCCTTTTTTGGACTAACATCCCAGCTCAATTCCACAAGACAGAGAAAACGTGGTTTGGAATGATCTGAAAGGTAACGCTGTGGTCCATCTGGAAGGAAAGGTGCTGCAGAACGGAACCATTGAGTCGTTGTGAGTGGCATAAGATGAGACAGTCCATGCCAGACGACGAAGAGCAACAGAGAAGAATCAAGGCAAAATTCACTGAGGTGTGGCTCGCAAGGGGCGAAGTGGCAGAGAGAAATGACTTTCACATACAATGGAAAGACTGGCACAACTCAGAAGCAGGGTGGAGAAGGCAGAGATCCCAGCCAGCAGAAGGACAAGATCCCTCACAGGCCACATAATATTGAAGGGAAAATTCCGAGATTGCGTCTTCCGTAGCTTCTCTTACCTTTCTTGCTCTTTATCATTTATCTGACAGGTTCATGGAGTGGACCTGAGAGGAAAGGTGGAAGAAAGGCAAGCTGACAGTCAATCCTCCACGATGCTGGAGTAATCAATGCTGGTCAGGGTTCCTTCGGTCGGACGGAAGGAAGCGTGAGTGTGTTTCATGATGTAATATTTTATTTTGACTTGCCGGTGTAATAGGAACCGGACTGATGCTCCCGAGAATGGAAATGGAGCCAGGGCCATAAGGAATGAGAGATGCAAAAAAAGGGGGGGAAAAAAAGGGTTACTGAACCTACTGTAACTGTTCTTAGCTTATCAGAGTTCATTCTCATGTATTAAATTATTGTTAGAAAATACTTTGATAAATCAATAAAATCCATCAATTCACTATCGATTTGCTGAATTTTTGCTCGAATTAGTTAACCCGTTTTCTTACAGATTTTTGTTAACTGTAATCGTTGGCGCTGACCTGGCTCTGATTTGTTTGTCGCAGATGTCTGAATGCTGCCACACACTGTGTTTCCTTATCCGTTTGGGAAAAGGGTTCAATAGGGGAGATATGCCTTCCAGGTACAGCCCCTTGACCTTGACCTTGACCTTGACCTTCAGCTTGACCTTGACCTTGACCTTGATCTTGACTTTGACCTTGACCTTGACCATGAGCTTGGTAAGGCATAGCCTTGACCTTGACCTTGACTGACCTTGACCTGGACCTTGACCTTGACCTTGTCTTTGACCTTGACCTTGACTTTGACCTTGATATTGAGCTTGACCTTGACCTTGAGCTTGACTTTGAGCTTCAGCTTGACTTTAACCTTGACCTTGACCTTTATGATCTTAAAAACTGTGCTATTGATTCCCTTTCCTTGTGCTCTCCACCAAATCCATCCTATGTCCTTGCCCTACGTCTGCAGAGTCTGGGCTCTGGACTACCGTAGTCATGGCTTTATGTTCAAATGATGGAATGGTCAGAAAATAACAGATTTCATCTCTCCGTCTTCTCTCGCTTGCTTGGTCAGGTTGGCCTGTCGGGCTGTCGGGTCGTCCGTTGTTCCGTTGGTCTGTCTGTCGTTCGTTTATCGGCACAGCCGTCCGTCGGTCAGCCAGTTGGTCCGCCGGTTGGTTTGTGCATCCATCCGCCGGTCCATCCGTCAGTCAGGCAGTCGGTTGTTCCATCCTTTGGTTAGTCCATCCGTCCATCGAACTGTCGATCTGTCAGTCTGTCCATCAGTCAGTCGGTCGGTGGGCCGGTCAGTCCGTTCGTCCGTCCTTTGGTTGGTCGGTTGGCCCATTTGCGGTCAGTCCATCGGTCCATCGGTCGGTCCATTGGCCAGTGCATCCGTTGGTTCGTCTATTGGTCCATCGGTCAGTTTGTCAGCATTGGTCTCTCTCTCTCTCTCTCTCTCTCTCTCTCTTTTTTGCAAAAGCAACAACTCGCTTGAAATCCAACTGCGTGAAGATCCCTCCCGCCCCCCTGTCCTCTTCTTCCCCACCCCTCCCGTAGAAAAAAGAGCGGAGGAAACCAGTTGTGCTTCCTCATCAGCTTGTTCAGCAGTTCTCAGAAGACTGAGAAGAGTGCATTCCGGTTCAATAGTTGACATGTGCGGTAATGCCATGTGGATGCCTCTGCAGAAGCGCTGACTAATGAGCTCCACAAATCTGTGAAGTCTGTTGATGCGGAGTCAGCTGTAGAAGTCAAGGAGGCAAAGACTGACTGCTGCAATGATTGTCAAGAGCAGCAGTGTGCGGCGGGTTGCTTACAAACTCTTTGTGATGTCTGCAAACTCTGTGCGCCATTCACAAGGTATGTGCGCTTGTCTGAGTCTCTAGCCATGGTTAACCTAATGGGAACGGGTAAACTTAACTACCGTCTTCACCCGCACATAATGCGTATGCGTTGTAAACGAATACAACCTGTTGCTTTCTATTCGAGTACAGCGCATAGTCGTTCTATTCGAACAGCCCTTCTATTCCAGTACAGCGGATAGTCGTTCTATTAGAACAGCCCCTCTATTCGAATACACTGCATATGCATTTTTTTTTTTTCCACCTGTTTTTTTATATGAAACTCTGACGAAACAGTTTGTCACAGCCCCTTGTTTGTTGTCCTCTTCTCCCTCTCTGCCTACGGTTTACCGGGCAGCTCTGTTTGACTATATATATGCAAGCGGCCTTCTCCTCATCTGGGGGACAGCTGCATTTTTTACTACTCTCAATATTATTTTTTATCTCACTCTACCTACCACGAGCTATGTACTTTTTGGCTTTAGGGTTCAGGGTCCAACTATACCACCACCTAAGTCTACCAGCTAAGAACTGGCACAACTCATATTGCATTCTATTCGAGTCGTAGAATGTTTTTTGAAAACTCGAATACAACGCATATGTGCTATGTTCGAAGGAAGATGGTAGGACGTACCTATCCTGCTGTGTCTCTCTCTTGGGCATGGTTGCTTGCTTTACAAGAGGTTAACCAGGAAAGAAGTCTCGAACCCTAGTTAACCTGCTGCGTCTCTCTCTTTGACATGGTTGCTCACAATTTTTTTTTCATTCCAGCAAATGTTTGCGTGTCCCACGAGGAGGGGGAAGAAGCCCTCTGCGTTTCCATCACAGGTGTTTTCCATCCCATGCCATGAGTTATATAATTGTATGGCTCCTTTGACTTTTCATCTCTCCGTCTTTTGTTGCATGCTGTTATGACAGTGTTGTACTCAATTGTTCTTCGTTCGATTGGCCAAAGTGAATGCCAACCAGGATGAGGCCGCAAGGATAGGGCAATCAGGGATGAAGACTGAGAACTCAGGGTATGAGAGAAATGCGTTGACAATGAAATAAATGGTGTGTGTGTGTGTGTGTGTGTGTGTGTGTGTGTGTGTGTGTGTGTGTGTGTGTGTGTGTGTGCGCGCGCACGCGAGTGTGTGTGTCTGTGTGTAACTGAGGGAAAACGTAGCAGGATAATTGAAGGCAGAGAATGCAAGAAAGGTCGCTTCAGTTTCCTGGCAGTCGCAAGATATCAAAGAGAAAGAGAAAGGAAATGGGGAACTGGAAAGGAGAAAACACGGATATCTGGAGAGAGAGAGAGAGAGAGAGAGAGAGAGAGAGAGAGAGAGAGAGAGAGAGAGAGAGAGAGAGAGAGGGCTTATAATGGCACTGTTGCTGTGTTGGTTGTATCGGGGATGTTTGTGGGAACAGGAGATTGCGTCTGCAGAGTGTCCTTTGTGCAAGTGAACTTGCGGTGAGTCCCTCTGTTTTTCTCTCCCTCCCTCTCTTTCTCTCTTCCCCTCTGCCTCCCCCTCTCCCTCCCCCCCCCCCGCCCCCCCAAAAAAATAGGTCAGGAAATTTGATGAGGACATTGAGGGAATGAGCACCCAACTTCAGATCTTTTTCTGAATGCCAGTTTGTATAGAAAGCATACTTGCGGTGCATCACGTG